TCACAGGAGTGGCTGATGGCTGGCTCTTTGCCCACAGAGCTGCTGAGTGGGCTCAGACCAGCAACCTTTGGGTCCGCAGTCAAGCCCTGAGCCATTGAACCTTGAGGGTTCCCAGGTGCTTCTTAGGGTTCATCTTTTTTGAAACAGTCAGCGATTCTGATGGACTGCTAGGTTTGGGAACCACCGCTGAGAAGGAATACTGCCAACTGATGATCTTTGGCTCCCTAGCTGGTGCAACCAGTGAATGTACAAGGCGACAAACCACGAGGCTGGAGGTTTAAATCCCTGTAGAGCGACCTTGGAAGAAAGGACTGGTGAGCCACTTCCAAAGAAATCAGGCAGTGGGAAAAAAACCCCAGGGTGCACATTTCTCCTGTGACACCCATGGTGTTGTCATGGGTTGGGACCTATTTGAGGGCCACTGATAAAGCCCGTGGTCCGGATGTGATGAAGAATTCCAAAAACACAGGAATCCCAGCCTCTTGGAGTCTAGAGTCGCTTTCTCTGGCTGGGCACTCATGGGTCTGATCCTTGCAACTAGGGGTGTCACTGCCCTGAGGTAATGACTCAGTAGGATTCCAGCTCTTCTGACTGGAACCCCACAACACCCTCATTTCTCTCTGTGCACCCTCAATGCATTTAATATGTATATGTATGTGTCTGTACCGTGTATACTCGAGGATAAGCCAACCCAAATATCAGCCGAGGCACCTAATTTTACCACAAAACTGCATTAAAAATGTGCTGAAAAACTCAGCTTACACACGAGTGTATATGGTACGTACGTATATGTATGTATTAAAGTTTATTCTTAAAACAATAATTATATACATGTATAACAATGTTCTTCATGTAACCGAATGTTCCTCCATTTAGGATCTAAGGAAGTGCCCATGATTCTGAACCTCCATATTCACATTGCTTGGTAGGGTGTTTGAGCACAAATTAAGGAGCTATGAGCTTGAGTTGACGCCATGGCAGTAGGTGGGTGGCATAGGGGGTTAAACTCACAGCTGCTAACTGAAAGTCCTGCAGTTCAAAACCACTAGCCGCTCTGTAGGAGAGAGATGAGGCCGGCTGCTCCCACAAAGATGCCGGTCTTAGAACCCTATGGGCAACTCCCCCTGCTCTGTAAGGCCAGCAGAGGTTGAAATCTACTCAACAGCAATGGGTCAGATAAAGTATAAATTTGTGGGTCTACTCCTACCCTTGCCACACCCATCTCTTCTTCTTCGGCTAACAGCACCCTGATTTGTTTCTGAGGAACCTGTCCACCTTATTCCCTCCATCGCACCCCTTGCTGCTGAAGTCAAAGCTGTGGCTTAGGCCGGGCGAACCATCACGATGCAGGAGTCCCAGGAAGAAAGGGGGGTCGACCCGTTCACTGATGTGCCTGCCATGAGACTTCTGGGCCTTGTTCCCAATGCACTCAGAACTGGGGGAATGAGGCTAGAGTTAGGGCAGCCACCTTGCATGCCCCACTAGGGGAGTGCCTGTGTGAAGATGGGGTCTGTGCTGAGGGGAGTAAAATAAAAGCGGTGTGATAGTTGAAATCGAGTAGCAGTGTTAGAGCCCCTGGATCTCGCCGTACCTGAAGCTATCCTGTTTTTGTGATGTGCGTTAACACGTTTCCACTTTGCTTCAGTTGTTTGACTTTCTGCATTTGCATTTGAGCACCTTTTCACATGGCATCTGGCTGAAGACTTACAATAACTGACTGCGTGGGGTGTGTCTTGGTTTGCCCACATTGTAGATAAGGAAGTTAGCTTCAGACGGAATAAGTCCTGGGCCAAAAGTTGCAGAACAAGAAGAGAAGCCAAGTCAGAATTTAAACTCAGGGCTCTCTCTCTCTCCTAAACCTGGCGGCTTAATCATTACCCTGGCTGGTGAGGAGATGATAAAGAAGTTAGAAAACAGTCAACAGGTGACCCCGCCCTGGGGCCTCTCTGTAAATACTGGGGACTATCTTGCAAGACAAGAAATGCAGCCAATTCTAATTGCCCTGCAGCTTGAGAACAGAAAAGCAGCAGAAGGCTGTGAGATCTATTGGTCTGTATCCTCTTATCAATGTCTCTTAAGAAGAACTCAGTGCCTCTTCTATGCAAGGGTCTTAGTTGAAAATAACTTCCCTTTCATCTAGATCAGTGGTTCTCAACCTTCCTAATGCTGCGACCCTTGAATACAGTTCCTCATGTTGTAGTGACCCCCAACTATGACATTATTTTCATTGCTACTTTATAAGTGTAATTTTGCTACTGTTATGAATCAGGTGACCCCTGTGAAAGGGTCGTTCAACCCCCAAAGGGGTTGCAACCCACAGGTTGAGAACCACTGAATTCAAGATGATACCATCAAATTAAATTACACCAGAAAAACAGCCTAG